ATCTCATCCCAGCAGGAATTTACGTCCGAGGAGTGGGCAGTTGGAAGAGAGTCCTGAAGAAAATTCTGATAAACCCATTTAAATTAGCGATCTGCCGCCCCCTCCCAAGTTGCTAAACCACTTGCTCACCCCTTACTCGGTCAGGAAAACGAAGAGCAAAGCGCTTCCGGACAACAGCACGGCCAAAATCTACATATATGTTCTAAAACGAGTGATAGTCAGTTACCCATCCGCGCCATCGGCAACTGATAGTAATATGGTCGATTTCGGTCCACAGCTGGTACGGTGTTGGAGGACACCATGTAGCCGAAGCACTCGTTTGCCATTGTCCGTACGTACCCAGTCCACTCCATGTCGACCACCTGATTTAGTCTCAGATGAGCTGAGTCTTTCCATTTGTACATCCAGATATCCGACAACCACAAAGATATGCGAGCTTTTAACCCTAATAGTAGGATAGTTCAGGCTTCTAAGATTTGTCTTTGGTGTTGTCAGAGCTACAGACATTTGGAGCATAAGTGGATGCGGCAAACAAGTAACGGTTACCTTCCCGCTTCGGAGACCCAATCATGGACGCTGCCAGGCGAGCCGCAGAGAAGTGACTATCAACGGGTATCCAGTCAAGGAAGGATCCATCCGCTGGGTGACTGAGGACGATACCGACCCTGCTGCAGTGGCCTTTGGATTGCCAGACGTTCGACGCCAGAAGCAATTCGAAAGGGATGGGGCAGTTATCTCAACAACTGTGCTTGCGATCTTAAATTCCCGTTTCTATTACACAGCACGCGTCAATTTCAAGTAAGCTTGGTGTGGTGGTAGGAGAGAATTGTTGTCCCGCATGTTTCAGAGCACGAACACTCGAAGCAGCCAGCTGGTCTGGACGTCGAGGCTTGACGATTGATTTTGAGATACCTGAGGCAGTTCTGGCGTGCATGTGCTGTGACCACGAGGGGTGCAAAACTGGATTGTCACGTCTTACGGTTGAGCCCACAAGAGCAGATTTATTAATGGTTGCTGTGGCATGACATTTTTGCTAGTCGTAATCAACATGGCTGTCTGTAGGCTGGACCACTACCGGGGCGTCCAGACCTAGTCAGGGGACGATTAGGGTCCCTGACCCTCAACCAAAGATTTGAGTTTGGCTGAAAATTTCCTCAGATTATTTTTTTAATGACAAGTCACCACACACGATTCAATATGCAAAATGGATGGCCAGGAGAGTATTTGTCAGTCGTCAAACCATTGATCAAATTGGTGTGCGAGATTGGGAGTTTCAATGTAGCTTAATGGGTCATGGGGGCAAGCAAACCACCACACCAAGGCAATGTTCGGCTTCTTAGTGACGGTTTTCTTTGGTTTGGCGGATTGACTAAATTGTCCATTTTTAAGGGTGGTTCTCGCAGCATCTGTGTCGAATAGTTTGCTTCGGTTGCATCAATGATAAACTCCACCACCCTGTAAAAGTTGCTTGTCGAGCCAGAAAATTCTGGGACAGCAGGCCTGGTGTTGTCCTGGACACTAGATGCTCGTCGTTCAGCTGAAACCCCCCTTTCGGTGCTTCGGTTCCTTGCAACCGAATGGTTGATAGGCTGTCAGGTTACACAATCCCAGGCAGGAACAATCAGGATGTCGGGGTTGGATTCGAACCGTGGACCTCCCAGTCAGTACACTCGCGCTTTAACCGCTCAGCCTTTCCCAGTTTACACCAGATGCTGAAACACCGATACATCTACACAGGTCTACAACTGTGGCATTCACAGATATTACGGTGAACTTTGACTACACAGAATGGCTGTCTTGTGAGACTGTTTACTGAAAACCGGAGGGCCTAATAATCGCGCCTCAATCCAGGTTTTATTTAGCCAAACAAGGAACAGTAATATCTTATTGCAAACGTGGTCTTTAGAAGATTTTTGAATGTCTTCCTATTCCCCAACCTGCCCACAAAATTGCCTCTGTACGGAGTTGTATCATAGCTGGTCGTAGGAGAAAGGGTACCACTGGAAATGTCGAAAACAAGAATGTGTTTCAAAACTTGAAGTAGATGGCTCGAGCAGATTCGTCGGATTCCTCCACCCAATGACTTCATGTGCATTTTTCGTACGCACCAGGCTAAGTCCAGAATCATATTAAGTACCGTTAGCTAAATACATGGCTTGTGGTGTGAGTACTTTTCATCGTGAACCATGGCTTACGTAGTGCCAAACTATAGCAAGAAAGCCCCATAGTCTACCTTTTTTCTCACTCTACGTACGCACCAAAGTCCAGAATCATATTAAGTACCGTTAGCTAAATACATGGCTTGTGGTGTGAGTACTTTTCATCGTGAACCATGGCTTACTTACTGCCAAACTATAGCAAGAAAGCCCCATAGTCTACCTTTTTTCTCACTCTAACTCAGTTTGACTGACACTCTGAAGTTATATATATATAT